GCAAGAGAATGCCTGAGCCCAGAGGTCGAGACCAGCCTGGACAACTTGGCAAGACTCATCTCTACGATAAATAAAAAAGATTAGCTGTGTGTGGTGGCTACTTGGAAGGCCACATCTGGGGCAATTTAAGCATCCCAGAGAATAGTGATGATAATGAGTTATAGCACATTGAATTAAAAATTACAGAAACAAGTTCATAGTGATGTTAACAAAAAAGGGTGTGAGGGGTGGGAGGAGAGCTTTTCTTTTTTAAAAAAATGCCACCTAATGTAGAAGAAATGACAGAATTAGAAAACCACCATTTTGTAACCCCAATGTAACAATTAATTTGGGCAAAAATAATCATTGGATGCTAAAAATATTGAGTGAACATGTTGAGCACGAAATGTACACAATCTCAAAGTATCATGATACTTTAAGTATCATTTCACAGATGGCTTACTTATTACAAAGGGGAAAAATAACCTTTACAATGTAGCAATCTGGAAGCCACCACCCTAGTCCAGTGCTCAAAGGTGGCAATACCAGTAGAAGGACAGCCTGATACATGTGCCACCTGACAGGATGCAATAAGGTGTCTACATCACCCATGTAGTATTCATGCCAGAAATATTTAACCTGAATCTAATCATCAGGAAACAATAAGACAAATTTATAGTATGAGACAATCTGTAAGACAACTGGCCCGGGCTCTACAGAAAGAGTCAATATTGTAAAAAAACAAGCAAACACAACTATCAAGTACTAGTTTACATTTAAACAACTCAAAAAACAACCACCAAATGGCTTGTGTGAACATGAATTAAATTCTGGCATTTCTTTCTTTTTTTTTTAATTAAGAGTTTCATTCTGTCACCCAGGCTGGAGTGCAGTGACCCGCTTACAGCCATTGCAGCCTTGGCCCGCTGGGCTTAGGTGATTTGTCCGCCTCAGCCTTCCAAGTAGCCACCACACACAGCTAATTTTTTTGATTTATTGTAGAGATGAGGTCTTGCCAAGTTGTCCAGGCTGGTCTCGACCCCTGGGCTCAGGCATTTCTCTTGCCTCAGTCTCCCAAAGTGCTGGGATTTATAGACCTGGCTACATCTTGATATTTCTTAATTCTGTCTCTCTCTTTTTTTTAAGAAATGGGGTCTCACTGTATTGCTCAGGCTGGACTCAAACTGGCCTTAAGCACAGGCCACCATGCCCAGCTAGATCTTGACTTTTCTATAAAAGACATCATGAGACAATTGGGGATGTCTGAATGTGGGCTGTATATGTGATGTTATTTTGACTAATTGTTAATTTTCTCAGGTGTAACAATGTTGCTGTGGTCATGTAGGAGAACACCCTTATTCTCAGAAGAAATGTGTTAGCAGTGATGTGTTTTGATGTTTAGAAAATACTTTCACATAGTTGAGCAACAAGAACTATCAGTACAGAAAGAGAGAGAGCAAATGTGACAAGATGAGTGAGAGTGAAGGGTGATGTGTGTTCATGGTTTTATTTTTGCAATTTTTAACACAGATTTCAGCATTTTTAAATATGAAATTGTAGGGAGAATGCTAAACTTGCTAGGGGAAGAGTTCCAGGTCAGGGAGGCTTGTCCCGTCTGCCCTTCCTCTGGTTGGGGCCGGGCCAGCGCATCTCTTCTTCCATCTGCACATTCACTGCCACCTCCCCAAGCTGAAACATCACCTCTTGTTTCCACTCAGGTGAAGACCCCCTGGTGGACGATCAAAATGAACGAGATATCAATTCAGTCGCAGGTGTTTTAAAACTGTATTTCCGAGGACTGGAAAACCCACTCTTTCCTAAGGAAAGGTTTCAAGATTTGATATCCACTATTAGTAAGTATTTCCCAAGTGGAACAGTCAAGTCCTTGAGAAATCTGTATTGAGGTTGGACCACGGGTTCATCACTGAAGAGGGATATTATGAAAGCGAGAACAGGGCTTGCATCCTCAGAGAACTTAGCCTAGCTGTGGAAATAACAAGATGGCTTATAAGAAAGGGCCAGTGTATCCCTGGGTACAGAAGGAGCTCGGAGGAGAAGAAGCAGAGGAAGACTAGTTTTATAGATCAGAGCCCAGAGAGATGCATGAGCAGAGTCTTCCAGGGTGAAGGGACACAGGGGATCTTAGGAAAGGTTGGGGACGCAGACCAGTGGGACCAGCAGGAGGGTGTTCCAGCCAGTGCAAGAGGCTGGAAGAGCCAAATGAAGCGAGAGGGGGAAAGCCTTGAATGCCCTGCATATGTACCAGAGCTTTTCCCCTTGGGTGATGGGGAACCATGGAAGGTTTGGGCGTCAGGTCGGCAACATGACAAACAAGGGAAATGGTGAGAATAAGCCGACTGGGAGCTTACTCTGATGTCACTAGCCATGAGAGTCCTGTTGGACTGGTATGTTTCTGTGGCTAAGGTCTGGAGGAAGCCCAGGGGGATGATGTTGCGACATCTAGACTGTGAGGCACCCAAATCCAAGGCAATGTTTTGGGGAATAAAAAGAAGTAAACCCTTAATTTTAGAATAAATGTTTAAACTTTATCTGATTTATAGAGAATTGGCCCCCCACACAGTTTCACCAGGGGTGCTCTGCACAACACTGAGATCTGCAGGCTGGAAAGTGTCCCAGGAGGTGGCAAGAAAAGGGGGAGGCTTGAGCTGCCTTGCTTTCTTGTGTAAAAGACCCTTCCTTGCCCTCTGCCCTCCACACTACTTCCTGTTTACCTTTCCAGATTGACCTCAAGCTCTAAATCATGTCTTTTTTAATTCTAGGTCAGACCCTGTGTAAACGCTGTCTCACTTGCTCAGCCAATGTTTCCAGAACCCTCAGTAATCCAGTTCCTGGGTAGGGCCCTGAGGATTTCAGGTCTAGGGCTTACCCAGAAACAGAAGTCAGAGACAAGATCCCAAGCATCTGCAAGAGTTCTTGGCCAGTGTGTAGCTTGAAAGGCAGATATTTATTAGACAGTCATTTCCTGAGCAACTGCCGGGCCTGTGCTGCAGCTGATGTTTGTAAAGAGTTTAATAATACATGGCCCCTGCAGTGTTTATCCGAGTTCACAGATCGCAGTGACAGAAACTCTACTTAAACTGGCTTAATCTATAAAAGGGAATGCATTGGTTCATGTGCCTGAAAAGTTTAGGCCTAGCTGGACTGGAACCCTCCCAGGCATCAGCAGGTCTGTCACCCCTCTGTCTCTATGGCAGCTTCACTCTCAGCAAGATCTTCCTTCTGGGTGTCTCCCAGGAGCTCCATGCTCCCCTCCACCCAGGTTCAAGGGTTACCCCCCTATGCATTTCTCCAGTCCCAAGGATCAATTCTAATTAGGTGCTGATCATATTTATATACCCTTGGGGGGTATATGATGCTCTGATTGGCCAGGCTGGGTCACATGATCCCTACAACTGCGAGTAGAGCTGGCTTCCCCATCCATGTGGGCTGTTACAGGAGGTGGAGCCAGCCAAGCGTTTGCTACTTTGCTCTCTGAGGATGAAAGGTACCCTGAAAAGCCCCTTTATGTTACAGAACTGGAGAACCCAGCTGAGAGAGTGCACCAGATCCAACAAATCCTCATCACCCTTCCCCGCGTGGTCATTGTGGTCATGAGATACCTCTTCGCTTTCCTCAACCAGTGAGTGCCTGCCCAAGGGACCCCTCACTGAATCAGCCCTGGCCTCCTTTGGGAGGGGGTATGCTGAAGCTTTTGCAGGTGCTGTTTTTAAAGCAAAACATGGAACCCTCCTGGGTTTGTGTAGACTCCCCCAAAAGAAAGAAATCACAGGGGGAGGGTTTGCCTTTCCCAGATGACTTGTGGGTACCTCCTCTCTCCTAGCCTCTCCCAGTATAGCGACGAGAACATGATGGATCCATACAACCTGGCCATCTGCTTCGGGCCCACCCTCATACACATCCCTGATGGGCAGGACCCTGTGTCCTGCCAGGCACACGTCAACAAAGTCATCAAAACCATCATCATCCATCATGAAGCCATCTTCCCCAGCCCCCGGGAGCTGGAGGGACCCGTGTATGAAAAGTGCATGGCTGGAGGGGAAGAATATTGGTAAGATGCCATTCCTCTTAATATTGTTGTTATCATCATCATTGTTATTGCTGTTGAACAGGAACAGTAAGAAGCCCTTCAATTTTCTTACTGCTTGTGAGTCTGTATTTCCATATACATTTTCTCACTTGAGCTTTGCAGCAGCCTTAAATGAGAGAGAGCCACACCAGTCAGGATTTTCTTGGTTACAAGGGACAAAAATACAACTCAAACTGGCTTAAGCCAAGTGGAAATTTATTGTTTTACTTAACGAAAAAGTCTGGGAATATATCTTCAGGTATAGCTTGATCCAGGGACTCAACTCATAAGGACTTAGTCTCACAATCTCCATCCCTTGACTCTGCTTTATTCTTTGTTGGCTTCATTCTCAGACAGCCTCTTGCTTGGTGGTTGCAAAAAGGCGGTCAACACTCCAGATTTATAACTCAATCTCTCACCCTCCTTAATAGGCAAAGAGCTTTCTCCCAAGAATTGTGTTTCATGGCTGAGATTTGGGTATGAAGTAATCACATGGGTTGGGAGATGTAATGCTGTAGCTGGCCGGGTGAGTCCCGAGCCTACCACAGGAAGCAGTGGAGAGGATAATCCCCTCCTCAGCCTCATGAACTGAGTGTGACACTTGCCAGGGTTGTCCCCTCTCCCCAGGAGTCCTGTTTTCCAGGTGAAGTGAGCTCGATTTCTTTGAGTGCTCCACACTGAGTCAGTGATTGCTAATTGGGGACCTCTGTGTGCCTGGTGTATCTGGTACTACACTGGGTTGTAGGAGAAATAATTTAGAATGTTTTCAAAATCGGGACTGTCTTCCCCAGGCTAAGACGGAAACATTTTTTTTTAATTGTAGTGAAGATGGGAAATTCAGACAGAGACCAAAGTGTTCCTGCTATTTCTTTATTTCCAATCCAGAACAGCACACAGCTATATATTTAGGTGTTACCACACTGCTCCCATCCAGGGGCCTGCAGAGAAGTTTGCTTTTTGATGGTCAAAGCATTCCTGGACTCCTGGATCGCCTTGATTCTGTGGGCATATGTAGGTAACCGCTTCAAAGAAGGGAAATGTTCCACTCTTTTGTTTCCTTTCCACATGCCTCCCCACACAGAAGTACCGGGCCATGGTGCTGTCTAATCACAGCCTTCTAATCTCATTTGAGGCACTAGGGAGCAAGTCCATCCCTGTTCTGTGACAGAACCATTGAACAACCGGCAAGCATAATTTCTGGACAAAGAAAGCTTTTCACACAGTTTTTGCAACCATTACCAGTTCTGTTTGCTTGCTGCAATGTATATAATTGGCATTCTGGGAAGGGACCCACAGATCTTCGTGTACTTATTAAAGAACAATATGTAATAACTACACTTTTCTTAATCCTATTTGTTTCCCACCAGACTGGAAAACTAAATTACGTGGTAATTTTGGAGGCATTTTAAAGCCAAAAAGGGAGCTTTGGCTGAGGGTCTCAGCACAGTAAACAACACTCATTCATTCAAAAAATGGCTGCTGAGCATCTGTCATGGGCTGTGTTCTGTGCTGGGAGTCAGGGATAGAACCTGAACAAGATCAATTCCTGGTACAGGGAGCTCTGATGGAGTAGGAGGTAGGTAGGGCCAACCTAGAGAAGTCGGGAAAGCCTTCCTGGAGAAAGTACAGACTGAGTTGGGAAAACAGGATGAACTGGAATCAGTCTGGTGCAGAAGGGCCAAAGAATGTTCTAGGCCTGGAGCAGTCACTGAAACACAAAGTGGTTCGGTGTGGTCAGAGTACACTCTGAAAGGGGAATCGTTGAGCCATGAGACTCCACAGGTCACCTAGAGCCAGGCTATGAAGAGCCTTGGAGGCCAGTGTGCAGTCTGGATCATATCCAAGTGACAGTGGAGAATGCTTTCATGATAAAGTTTGTATCCCTTTAAATGGTACTGTAAATGTCCCTGCCTCCAAGAAGCCTTCCGACCACTCTGTGTCAGTCCCCTCTGTTGTTCTTATCTCTGACCATCTCTTTTCTACATGACACTGTTTCAACTTGTGACTGTTTTGTTGACTGGACTGCTTACTTGGGCAGTTGTTTTGTTATCCCTCTCGCTACAACATAAGCAACCTGAGGCTAGGAACCTTGTCTGCCTTGGCTGTCATGACATCCCTCCTACCTAGCACACTGCTTGGCACGTAACAGGACTCACTCACTGGCTCTAGAGCAAACTGACTGGCTATGGGAACGAACCCTGACTTCAAGAAGCCTGTCATCCAGGCATGAAACAGCAGCAGGTGAACTGATACAATGAGACCACTGCATGAATGACTCCATTGGACGGACCCGGGTCACTCAGCCACCATGCTCATCATGGCTGCCAGTCTGCTGTCACCGGCTGGACTGATCTGGGCTTTTGCATGCAAAATCACGAGGCAGCCCTTGTTAGCTTCACCTCACCTCACGGGCTGTGTCACCCCAGCTGTAAGACAAAGGAGTCGGGCCAGATAAAATAGCTCACAGGGGCCGGGCTTGGTGGCTCAGCCTGTAATCCCAGCACTTTGGGAGGCCGAGGCGAGTGGATTGCCTGAGCCTGCGGGTTCGAGACCCACTTTGTCTCTACAAGAAATCAAAAATTAGCCGGGCGTGGTAGCACATGCCTGTAGTTCCGGCTACTTGGAAGGCTGAGGTGGAGGGATCGCCAGAGCCCAGCAGGTTGAGGCTGCGGTGGCCGGGAGCAGCCACTGTACTCCAGTCTGGGCGACAGAGTGAGACTTCAACTCAAAAAAAAAAAAAAAATAGCTCACAGGGCATCAAAGGCCCCTTTCTGATCTGTGGTCCTTCTGATGATAAGTGCTAGAACTTTATCACTGCCCTCTGGATCTTACAGAACATGTGAGCATTGACAGCCCTCACGGAGAAGATAGCCCAGCATGTTCCAGGGATAGGAGGGAGCTAGGGGAGGGATTCGGGAAGCTTCCCAGTGAGGGGGCTGGAGCGGTTTTTGGATGAGGAAGGTCCCTCGGGGGCTGGGGGTCTGACAGAAGAGACGGGATGGCATGGGCCTGCATCTGATCCGGGTGAGGAGCCAGAGGCCCGTTTGGCTGGCGTGGGAGGCCAAGGGCAGTGTGAGGGTCGACAGCCCGCGGCGAGCTCCCTTCCCATGTTTCCTTGCAGTGACAGCCCACACAGCGAGCCAGGGACCATTGATGAAGTTGATCACGACAATGGCACCGAACCTCACACCAGCGATGAAGGTGAGTGAGGGGGGCCCCAGGGCCCAGGAACTCGCCTGGGGCCTCTCGGGCTGGCTCATGGCAGCCGACCACAGGGCTGGCTCACGCTGCTCCTCCAGCTCTCCAAGTCAGCACATCTGTCCTACAGAACAGGTGGAGACCCAGAAAAGCCCTCCCGGCGGGCCCCAGGTCCCAGCACAGGCCTGACGCGGCACCGCCCCTCGTGGGTGCGCACTGTCTTCACCACATCGCACACCCAGCCCCCTTCATCCTTCGAGGCATCTGGTCTGGCTAGGGTGCAAATCCTAAGTGACACAAGATTTTTAAGTAGGAAGCCACCTCTGGCCTTCTGTCCTTCTCCTGCGAGGAACTGCTCCATGGCTGGCCCGTGCTGAAACTTGAGGCAGGGTGAAAAATGAGATGTCAGTCCTTGAGGAGCGCCCTGGCTGTCACCAGACCTTGACAGGCTGGCAGTAGGCCCTCATGAGGCAGAGTGATCATGCCAGGCTACAGGTGTGTCCCCAGTGTGGTGGGCACCCCAAAGATAAAGCCAAGGGGTGATGGGGTGATGATCCCAGGAGCTACGTGGAGAGAGCGGAAGAAAGGCCAGCTGGATGTCGAGGGACTCACTGGATTCCTCCACCCCTTCTCAACAAGGAGAAGAGAGTTGGATCCGTCTCTAGGGAGACTAGACTGTGTAGACAAGCCGTCTGGACACTGTGCCAACATATCCATTAGGCAAAGTCAGCCTGGTGCCGAGGGGCCCAGATACTTGCAGGGATCCAGCACAGTGGCTAATTTCTTTTAAAATCAGTAGGAAAATGAAATGAGTATGATAACCAGTCAGAACATATTTGTCTTTATACAAATACAGTTGAGGCCAGGCCCAGTGGCTCATGCCTTAATCCTCGCACTTTAGGAGGCTGAGGTGGGAGGATCACTTGAGACTAGGAGTTCAAGACCACCCTGGGCAACGTATTGAGACCCCTGCCTCTAAAAAGTATTTTTTCAAATTAACAAATATAGCTGAAAATATAATTTTTAACTTTTTTATAGTGGAAGGGACTCATTTAGGCAAAAGCACCGGGGCCCATGAAAATCAGGGCTCTGTGTGTACCATAGTTGTCCTTTCTGCTTGTGATAGTTACTTTTTTTTTTTCTTGAGTTGGAGTCTCACTCTGTCGCCCAGACTGGAGTGCAGTGGCCGCTCCCGGCCACCGCAGCCTCGTCCTGCTGGGCTCCGGTGATCCTTCCGCCTCAGCCTTCCAAGTAGCTGGAACTAGAGGCGTGCGCTACCACGCCCGGCTAATTTTTTGATGTATTGTAGAGATGAGGTCTCGCCAAGTTGCCCAGGCGGGTCTCGAACCCACGGGCTCAGGCAGTCCACTCACCTCAGCCTCCCAAAGCACAGGATTACGGGCTGAGCCACCAGCCCAGCTAGTTTTAGTTTTTAAACATCATTTTTTAGTGGTTCTCTTACTTGGTCTTTGTGTTTCCCTGTGGGACAGCCCCAGGTTCCACTGGCCACCCATTTGTCAGGAAATTGGCATGTACTCAGGTAAGGATTTTGGGGACTGCTGAAAGAGGCAAGACTGATATAGATGGGTTTTCACATTCCAGTGAAATAGTAGGACTATTCCAGTTGCTAATG